CGAATTGCCGGACATGTACATCATGATTGCCGTCATGGGCAGCTGCTTGACGGGTGCTAGAGCTACTTCCCATGCCTTCTTGAGCTTCAGGGTGTCCATCTCTTCGGTGGTGGGAGGGGCGCGGACGGTGGTGGTTTTAGAGGAGGATTGCTGCTTCTGTTGGGGTTCTTGTTAGCTTGACAGATCCTGAGAGAATTGCAATCCATGCTTACCTTGTTTCCTGATGCTGCTGCTGTAAATCCTGGAGGGTCTGGAATGCTGGCGGATTTTGACTTTGCGGTTGGGGGAGAGGTGAGGTCAAGGACCCATTGTGGTGGGGGAGGGGCAGCCATCTCTATTGAGTGTCTGCGCAGTATCCAGGATCCTGTGCGATGGGTATAGTGGAAGTTCTCGTTGGCGTGACGTGGTGTTGTTGAAGGTGGAAGAATGGTTTGGTTCGCACTGCGGGCGCGCTTGCTTCGCGGGTGTTCGTTTCGTCAGCAGCGAGATCCCAGCAAGCCAGCCAGACCTTCGACCAACCGACCGACCGATCGACCGTACCTCTCCTATTGGGCCTCCACAGCTTCAACCACGTCTCGAAAAACAGCTGGTGGGCACTTTCGAACTGCAAAATATATTCCTGGACCTCCGGATTCATGGATACCATCTCCCTCTCCAACGCCGTCGAATCCCCTGCTCGAGGTGAACGTACAACCGACCTGGCGCATCGCATGTGACGGTTTCTGCGTCTTGTCTCGTCCCAGCCCAGAACAACAATCGATTCTCGTTGGTTGACGGTGGAGGGGTAATAGCAGCAGCAGGCATACCGACCCCGACAGTACCAATATTGACGTTCTCCATCTGCCACACCTTCGACGGCTACTGTGAGGAGGTGTTCTCCTCTTCCTAATCATGAGTTCAAGCGGCGGAGATGCGAAGCTCTTTGCTCGAGTACGTACCTTCTCATGATATCCGTCTCTTGCGCTGCCATTGTCTTGTCTATACCTCTTTGTATTGTCCTGCAGTACTCCATTCACAGTATGGGATATTGTTGTGCCACCGCATTCTAGTCTATCTATCCACAGCATCATGCTTTGACTGCGACAATACCAAAACCCCCCACCAGTAGTCGATCTACCCCATCTCAGCTCACACGACGGTCCCCGTCCCCTCCCCTTCCTTCATGGCCATGTTCCTCCCTCACTACATCCCTCCTACTGGCTATGGAATCGGTGGCTCACCATACTTGCGTTCTCCACAGGGCAAAGTCGCTGAACTACGACTCGAATTGAATAGCGGGGGAAAGAAGGACAAGAATCATGCAGCCAAGAAGATTGCCCTCAAGAAGATCGTGGCTAACATGACCATGAGCAATAACGATATGGTGGCCCTGTTTCCAGATATTGTGGGCTGCATGCAGATACCAAGTTTGGAGATCAAGAAGATGTGCGTTGCGGATGCTAAGGTCGTTGTGCAGTTGTGCAGTTGCGCTGATGTATGACATAGGTGCTTCCTCTTTCTTGTGAACTATGCTCGGATGAAGCCAGAAGTTGCTCTGAAGGCTCTACCTACATTACAAGAGGTATGGGTTCCATGGACAACGCACATTCCAGCAACTAACAGTGTTTAGGACATGACGGATTCGAATCCTCTAGTCAGAGCCCTGGCCCTACGGACAATGTCATATATCCACGTCCGCGAATTTGTTGAAGCCACCGTTCCTCCCACAAAGCTCCTTCTGCGAGATGCAGATCCATACGTGCGGAAAACTGCAGCGTTTTGTGTTGCGAAATTATATGACCATGACCGACATTTGGTGGAAGCGTCAGATCTCATCGATCGACTAAACTCGATGTTGAGAGACGATAACCCAACGGTCGTGGCGAGTGCCCTTGCGAGTTTGATGGATATCTGGGAAAGAAGCGATGCGATCAAACTTACAATCGACTACGGAAATGCTTCGAAAATGGTTCAGATCTTACCGGATTGTTCAGAGTAAGTGTTCTGGATCGTGGTCAGTATCACCAGCTAATCGTTGTGAAAGGTGGGGTCAGACGTATATTCTAGAAGCTCTGATGTCCTATGTCCCTCAGGAGTGCTCTGAGGCCTTGTTACTGGCGGAGCGCATCTCCCCTCGCTTGTCACATTCAAACTCGGCAGTCGTGCTCACCTGCATACGAGTAATTCTCTACCTGATGAATTATATTGCGGACCAGAAGCAAATTTCGATTTTGTGCCGCAAACTCTCGCCTCCTCTTGTGACCTTACTCGCAAAGGGGCCAGAAGTGCAGTACCTAGCACTACGAAACGCGCTCTTGATTTTGCAGCGACGGCCAGAAGTGTTGAGGAATGACATCCGTGTCTTTTTCTGCAAATACAACGATCCCATCTATGTCAAGGTCACCAAGCTCGAGCTGATCTTCATGTTAGCTACCGAGAAGAACATTGAGGAAGTTCTCACGGAGTTGAGAGAATATTCAACAGAGATCGACGTCCATTTTGTCCGGAAATCTGTACGGGCTATTGGAAAGTTGGCCATCAAAATTGAGCCTGCGGCGAGGAGGTGCATCAACACGCTACTAGAGCTTGTGGCCACCAAAGTCACGTATATTGTCCAAGAAGCCACAGTTGTGATCAGAAATATCTTCCGGAAATACCCCAACCAGTACGAATCAATCATTTCAACGCTCTGCGAGAACCTTGATTCTCTGGACGAGCCAGAAGCAAAAGCTGCTATGATTTGGGTCATCGGACAGTACGCATCCCGGATTGAAAACTCAGATGTACTTCTCGAGGATTTCTTGTACTCTTTCGCGGATGAGCCGGTTGAGGTTCAACTTGCTCTTCTCACAGCCACTGTCAAGCTGTTCATCCAACGACCGACCAAGGGCCAAGAGCTTGTTCCCAAGGTTCTGAAGTGGGCTACTGAAGACACCGACAATCCAGATCTGCGAGATAGAGGTTACATGTACTGGCGACTCCTCTCCTCAGACATGGCAACCGCGAAGGCTATAGTGATGGGTGAGAAGCCACCGATCACAGCCGAATCTGAGAAATTAGACCCTGTTACACTGGAAGAGATGTGTCTGAACGTTGGCACTCTTGCCACAGTATACCTCAAACCCGTACAGCAAGTCTTCCGCTCAGCTCGACCTCGCAGACTGCAAGACAGCCCAGCCCTCCAGAAACATATGCTACCCACAGCCAACCGTCTCGACGGTCAAAAGTCTCTCTCCACATTCGGCATGGGCGGACAACCAACTGTTCGACCACCTCAAAACGGTGACCTAGCAGCTGCCGTTGACGCCGCAGACGAGTTCTTTGCTGGGGTAGGTAGTCACCAGATGGCGGCCATGAACATCAATGGTGGTAATGAAGATGGATTTGGAGGCAGTCCCGTCGTTGGGAGAGGTGAGATGCAGTATGTGGTTAATCAGAGCGCTCCAGAACAGGTCTACCAACCGGCGATGGGACGCGGCTCTAATGGGGATCTTCTTATGCTATAAGGCATGCTTGACTGTCCGGTCACGGCCAAGATAGGGCAATCAAGGGAATCCACCTATCGGATGAGGGTGTTTGAATATGGAGCGGAAATGAAAATTAATCTTTGTCTTGATGCGAGTGTGATTGGTGCTGGGTAGTGTATTGAAGGGTTTCGAATGCATACTTGATTTGCACAGATCAGATAGGATGAGTTGAGACGAGTAGTACGTCGATAGTGATCTACCGAGATCGAAATGTACAGATCTGTAATGATGGAACATTGTCTTAGGTTGAACTGGATACTTCTCAAATCCCTTCGTTCTCTTTCGATGGCTATTATGATATCGATAATTAGGACGTCATTTTTACATACGAGGCTGTTCAAATTCGTCTCTGGTGAAGCGAACGCTTTGGCCACCCAAAAAATGTCGCTTTCACCGGTCACGAAATCGGCCCGCCTCGATACACAGATATAATGTTGCTGTTGCTGTTAACATTCTGTCGACTGTCACAAGTTCAAAATCAGATCAAATTCCCTTACGTAGAGTCTCAACTCCCCAGAAGCCTAGATTGTGCCAGGCTCACTTCTTTTATTCTACTCCCGAAACATGTTGTTACGAGGTTGTGATGGTATGATCACAGCTCTCACTCTCCCCAAGGAAGCCATTGCGAGTTTTCGTCGACCATTCCACGATGCGTGTTGTCTGTCATATTTTTGCAAAGTAGGAGCGTGTATATATATAGACAGCCATTCTTGCGGTTTTTGTGGTTTAGCCAAATTCACCAGTTCCGCTAGAAGCCGAATAGATTGCTTGAGCGATGAGGCATTCACAGGCAAAGCTCAACCTTTCATTGAACAGAGCACTTACGAGTTCGAGTAGATGGAGATTCATTCTGGACCAATTCGTCTTTCCGCTATTCATCTACTTCTCCTTGACATGAATGTGTCGTGAGCTAGAGTTGGAGCTAGGGAAAATGAGAGACACATGAGAAGGACAGATGTGAGGAAGCTTCTGGAGGGCTAAGAATTACGACACAGGTGACGCGACCTGAAAAGTAAAGATTTCAATACCTGAACGAGTATTTATTCAGTATCAATGATTGACTTTTCTTTGTGTTTGAAGAACCCTCCGTTGGCCTATTGGGAGTGGCAGATAGGTCAATCAACAGAGCAGGGTCTGGGGCGATGTGCTTTCTTTATTATAATATCCCCCAATCTCACCCGAATAAAGTTCACTGAGCACATGATCCTTCGTAAGATGTCGAAACCTCATCTAACTACCACCAACTCAGCAATCCCCCAAACTATCAGCCACTTAAAGCTTCCACCAGTCTTTGTTCCTACATCCTCACTCTCACTTCGCATCTCCTAGGTCACACTTCTCGCTTACCTCCTATTATCCACCAAGCTAACCCTCTCCGCCCCACAACATCCGCACAAAAGCCGAAATATTTTGGCAGGTAACATATAACGAAATAAGAAGTATTGAGACATCCAATCAGCATTTCCTCATTGAGTGAGATTGTTCCTATAAATGGCGTTTGTGGTTTAGTGGTAAAATCCATCGTTGCCATACATTCGAGTGAAGACCGAATGCAGTAATCGATGGGCCCCGGGTTCGATTCCCGGCGAACGCAGTTTTTTTTTTTAGACGTTTTTCGAGGCCGCTTTTTGGCTTCTTCGTTTCTCGATCCCCGATCTTAGTCCGCGCAACCAAGCCCTCCCCCCCACCGAAATCTATGTGTCCTGTAGCAGAAACATTCCCCCTCTAATAGAGAACGACATAACTAAAACTATACTCCATCGAATCTCGAATCAGGAACTCAAAGAGCTAAATCCTGACTTAGAGGAGGCCAGCGGCCCTTAGGACACCCACGCCCTAGCAATGCTAGGTACACCGTGACCTCTAATGAAATAGGTAATAGAATAAGTATAAATTAATACCCCTAGCTATTAACGGCTTCCTTCTTTTTATAATTTCTACGCTATCATTTTTTAAACTATTACAGTATACTACTTCCCTAAAAAGAAATCGGTCATGCTTAGAGCTCGTACGGCCTAGGCACTACTCTCGACGGATGATTTGCTAGTAAATCTCCAAGAAATCAGTGCCGCCCTAAAAGCAGCTCCACTAATTGCGTTTTTAACACGACATAATTACATATTAATCTTAAAAAGGTTTAAGACGTAAGTTTTCGAACCGTTTAATAATCGACCTTCCGCTAATAATAATAAGTATATGTCCCGCATAAGATAAGCACTAGATTAGGCCCCGAATACAATATAAATAAAAGGGTTTATTAAAATAATAGCGTAAAAGTCTTATAGTATTATTAACGAACGGCCGACAGTCTATACCTTATATTAAACCGTTAATTATCTAGCCACGTCTTATAAATAGCATATAAAAGTTAAAATCTTAAAGAATATATAAAAAAAAGTTAAAGATATACGGTTTAACGCTATCTTTAACTTATATATAATTAAAAGACTAATAATATAATAGATATGGACCGAACTAAAGCTTAAGCTTAGTTTAAGCACCGAAAAAAAGCTTAAAAGCACTGCCTCGGCTTTTAACTTAAACGAGATCCTCCGCTTTTTATAATTAAAAGACCGGCATAAGTATAAATAAGAATAAACTCAATTAAATATCGCCTTTTATCTTTTTATACTTATATACACTATTACACGGCCAAGGGCTGTGGTTATTTTGTCCGCATATTTAATTAATAGTAAATGCCTTAAATATAAGATTAATTAATATATAAGTTTAAAAGACTTAACAGCTAATTTATAATAATACTTAGTCTTTCGTCTTTATAAAAATAAAGAAGACTAGCCATCTTAAATAAGTCTTATAATAACCTTCTAATATATAAAAGATAACCGACCAGACCTAAGTAAATTATAAGCATGCCCTAACTATCTTACGGTACCCGTTAAGCTAACTTATAATTAACGTAATATTAACTCTATAAGAGAACCAGGAACTCCCTTACCTATGCCTTATTATTTACTTCCTTACTTTAGTATTTGAATATAATGCGTTTAAGTTCATATTAAAGCAAATATTCAGGCCCTAGATAGACCTTAAGGTAATCGAAGTGCCTTTTTATGCCGAAGTCCTAGAGACGCCTCTTTTCCGCGGCCTTAAGGGAAAGCCTTAGTCTTATAATACTTATAATATAATATTTAAGGCGGTCGTTTATCGAGTTAAATATAAAGCTCTTGCCTCGGCCTATAGCATTAGACAATAGGCCGTAAATGCGTTAAATAATAAGTTGACCACTATCGCGCAAGCACCTAAGCATAGAACTAACCTATATAAAGAAACTATTTCTCTAGGAGTAATAAGTCTTATTCTTAAGTATAAACGCCTAAAGGTTACGTAATAGTTTTACCTTAATAAATATTTAAATGTCGACCTTTAAAGTTTATTATTTAAAAGGACTATGCTAAACACAACGACCCATACGGAAACCCTACAGGGCATGGAAGCCTAACGCTTTACTAAGGCTTTAATAAATTTACGCGGCACGGAATTATATTAATAATTAAAAGAAAGCCCTATATATTTTGCCTTTCGACAAGAATAAGAGTAATTAAAAGTCATAAACGCAAGCAAGAAAGATATTAAAGTAGCGAAGAATCGAATGGATGTCGAGTTAACTCGGCTCCGTAAGAATAAAACGGACAAGGCCCGAGCTAAATATATAAAAACGAAACGAAGAGTAGCTATTATAGGCATCGAGGATTAACCGTGTGAGCTAACTGGAGACTAATTCGTTCTTCTTATATAACGCGCTAAATTAAGAGATTTACTCTATTAGTCGAGCTAGGAATAAGAACAGAGGCTCTCACTCCTTACTATATTACGCGAGATGTTCAAAGTCCGTATCCGCTTTCAGTGTCTACATACCGACTGTCCACACCTCCGATACCCTTTCATAAGTAAAGTAACACTTAAATCGCATATTCTAAAGTATACTTTATTTTACTTATTCCCTGACTATAAGCGCAAAAAAGCTTTCCCGAACCAAGAAGCCCTCAATTAACATTTACTCCATCATTAATAGTATTGTCCCGAACTTTTTTATAGGCGTGAAAAAGTCATCTTCGGCACCGAGAAAGAGCTTTAGGACCATATGCGAGATCACAGACGCCGACGCGCAATTTGGGGTTTAAAGGCGCTAAAAGAAAGCTCTGGCTCTGGCTCTCAATTACAGTCACAATGCCGGTAAGACAATGTTTATTTTCCGCCACGCCCTAAAAATAATGGCCCACAAACGCAATAACTTTGTCCGATAAGTAGCTGTCCACTCCGAAAACACCTATTTACTCGAAAAAGGAACCGTGATCGGCATTATGCCCGACATCACAAGCCGTGAACACTTCCTTATCCATTTCTAAGTTATTCGCGTGCTAAAAAGCCATTCCTTAATAGTGCTTCCCGCATTAAGCACTTAAAGAGCGTCCATTTAAAAGGGATTAATGTGACTACTAATCAAAATCGAGACGACATTATGGAAGTTAATCACGGGGAGATCGAGAGTGATGGTAATAAGGACCCGGGTTAAGTGGAATTAGCTCTTCCCAATAGCGATGCCGAGCAGGGGGTTTCACCCCCTTCGAACTCAGCCCAAATACAGTCACACTTCCCGAGGAATAATACCCAACTTGCTCAAGATCCGGTATAGTAGGGTTGGGTTCATATAAAGCTTTGAAGGGATATTAGAACGCTAGGCAAGAGAAATGATACAGAAATAAAAGTTACGCCGTAATAGGTCAAGATGGGCTCGTCCGGCTAATTAATTGAAAACATCAGCCAAGCAATCAAAGCAGTACTGTATTTTTATAACTTATCTAGAATGTTTTAAAGCATGAATTTGATATTGTTTAGGTTAATGAAGGTCTAGAGAGTTCCAATGCTGCTTGCACATTCTGCTCCACTTGCCACCCCAGTGCACCCAGGTAGTCAGTGGTTAGGACTTTTAGTAGTGTATCTGGTGCTCGTAACGGACCTGAGAAATGTCATCCGCGAATGGATGGAGTTATTAGCGCCGTATGTCTAATCAAAAGCTCTACAATGCAATCCCCAGACTTGCAACCCAAAGCAGGACGCTCGCTCTAGTACCTACAGGTAAGGACTCCACACTTCCGTATATTCCCTCTTTTGCTTTGCTTCCGTCCCCAACATAGGATCTCGCATCCAGCATGGGAAAATAAGCTATGCCCACAGCTTTGGCGAACATGTACCTAACTCGGTGGCAAAGTGATTAAAATGAAGGATACGTGGAATTAATTAGCTCCTGTACCTAGCACCTTGCTTCGGTATCCCCACTTCCAGATCGCGGGGTCACCAAGGGGAGCAGCTCGCGAGGTTCTCAAAATCAAGGTCCTTGCTTCTGCGTACAATGTATATCCAAGGGAAAAGGCTAACTCATTTGCCGCTTTATCAGAAGAGGAGGTAGGCATTGCCATCCATTAGGACGAACTCTCGGATCCAGGTTCAGGTTACGAGAAAGGCGCGCTAAGCTGAGTCCAGCTTAACTCCTTCTCCTGCCAAGATCTCTTGCCAAGCAGCACGTGCATTCGGGTTCTCGCTTATTACATATCACGATCTCGTTTCCTGGTTTCGTGGTTTCAAGATCTTCCTTCCTTAAGGTACCTTTCCAATGAATCTTAAAGCAGCATGGGGCGCTACGCAAGAAGATGCAGGAGACTCCTGCTTGTCCAAGGATCTGGCAATTAGAGACCTTCCGCATCGATTATGCTTACCCCACGAGATTACGACCGAAACAAAGAAACACTCAGACTTCTGCCCATCATGTCACGAGCTGTGATTCGTCAGTACGGTCCTTGCAATGGCTATTCCTCTGCTCATCCCCTATGTTAAATATGTTAGTGAGCTCCAAGCTAATAATAGCCAACTCCATATGAGCAACGCACGGCTACAAGCTACTCAGGGAAGCGGGCAAGCCAAAGAACGGCAAACGAAAGGCGAGATGACTATTCACTGCCCTTGCTTCCCTAGACTAACAAGATCCGAAGCTCATATAGTCGTTCTCCAGGGAGAGATTGAATCAGTCAAAGGTATTAACAACAGGCAGATTCGATAAAGCTAACTAACATATGATTTAGACAAAATCGATGAGCTGAGACGGGATATGCGCGAAGTGGAGGCGCAAAAGGACAGTCTAAAAGCAGACCTCGAGCGGCTAGGAGTTGGAGTTGTTTTGGACTCTGGTATAGAGAGCTCAAGCAAGAAGCGACGTCGTCAAGGGTGAGATAGGGGATCTATCGCAGACGCTTTCAGAGGCATTGTCCCTAAACAACCTATGTGGGAAGGAGCATTCAGCAAGCCTGCCATCTTTAATGGCATTCATTTACATTATACTTCAACCATCTACCTACCATTCACATCCACCTCAAACTCCAATGCCGTTCAACCTCAATTCTCCAGGAGAACCTCCGCAACTAATCTACCACGTCCTAAAGAGGTTAATTAGTCAGACCCTAGAGCTTGGATTTTTCTATTGTCCGAGAGGCAAGGAGCTTCATTAAGTGATTGGTTTGAACCCAGGGTAGGTTGAAGCCAAACTACACCTTTCTCGCTTAGCGATTAGGGGCTTCG